CTATTTTTAGTAACAGGGATAGAGACATTCTGGTTCAAGACAGGTCAATGCTGGACAGCGGCACAACAGCACCTCCCCAAAGGCTGACTAAGAGCAAGGCTGAGCAGAGACAGGCAGTGAAAGGGAAGGGCTGAGGCAACTAACTCTGGGACGGAAGAGCTGGAACCCACTGAAAGGAGACAGAGGATGAGATGTAAAAGGAGCAAGCAATGAACAGTAATACATCATCTCTTAGAAAGTACAAAAGGGAACATGGAATTTTTCTTTTCAAAGAGAAAAAGGGATGAGACAGGTCAAGCATCCCCCTGGTATCTCCTTAACCTGCTGCAGGAGGTTAGAAGAAAGAGAGGGACTCTGCAGATGTACAGGGAGGAGCAGCAGCAGCAGAGCAGCTGTGGAAGGGCAGGGATGCCAGCCAGACTCCCCTTGCCCATGGCACGGGAAGGAACCAGTCTTTGAGTTTTGTCATAACAGGTATAATTATTCCACTCACAGCTATGCTGTGATTACACAAAGTATAGAAAAATATGCTGTCAATGACACAAAGTCACCATCCTCCTGTGAGGAAGCTATTTAAATTATGCATAAAAGTACATCAAAATAACAGAAAATCCAAAGTGCTTTTTAATGTATATGATAATTTGTGTTCTAAAATCATACTGGATAGACTAAGTATGTATGGTATTTAAGCACATTTGATCTAGAGACAGCAGTGCATAACTTGGTTTCAACAATATGAGTAAAGGCCTGTTGATACTACTTCTAAGAAGTTTTTGTTACAGGTAACATCTTTGCTTAAGTAAACGAGTATCAGTGGACACAGATCCAGTCAGAATCCAGGACAGGTACAGAGGTGCTTTCTATGGTAGTACATGATTATGTAATTTACATAATTAATCATCAAGTTAAAGCTAGGAAAGAACTTTTCTCTTTTAGTAATTTTTATCTTATTGAGATTCGTGCACCCTGAAGGCAATAACTGAAGTCTACCAGTCTGCACAAAAGTAAATATATTGCTTTGTAAATACTGTCTCAAAAGTGTGGCATTCTTCCCATTTGGCATGAAAGACACCTTTTTTGCCACAAGCACACATGCAGTAAAACTAGCAAAGAAAGCACTTACACATCTAAAACTGACCTTCAGCATGCTTAACACTTTTTTAATGTCAGATTTCTCATAAATTAGATCAGCCTTTCCTACAAGTGACCACATCTGCAGCTTGGTTAGTTAAATGCTTTTGAAAAACTAAAAAGAAAACAAAAAAGGAGGAAATAGGAAGAAGCCTAGTTGCAATAAATTATCTTCAATCTTCAGACAACTGCACACTAAACACATGCCTCGAACTATTTAAATTACAAAATGTTGGTTTAGATTTCACTATTTATTTTTAGCACTGAAGTTCTTCAGCCAAATTTGTTGGGGGGGGATAGAGAAATGACCTTAATGGTTCAGATGTTTGTTTAAAGCATGCAGGAAATGATGCTCTCTTGCTGGAACGGTGGAGAGACATATCAGAGATAAGCACAAACAAAACCAGCATCCTCTTCAGCTCTGCCTACAGCCCCAATAATCTTCACTAATCAGGTAACTGCTTTTCTTTTGATTGGCAGTTTCTCCATAGTCATCTCCAGTGTCAGCATATCAGCACTGGGACCAACATGTACTACTACTTCTGCAAACATATCTGAATGCTTCAGTAGAAAAAAAAAAAAAAAAACCAAAAAAAACCCCAAAACATTAAAAGACTTCCAGTCACATATCTAGGTCCAGAAGTTTATCTTGCTGGCAAAAACAGAAAGTGAGTCATTTTAAGGTAGCAGGAAGGGAGATGGATAAAGAAGCTAAGAACTTGAGAGTTTCTTAGTCTTCTTGAGTTCAGAACTTCCTTATTTGTAAGACTGACTGCTCTTACTATGGAAAAAAATAGCACACAAGTGTGTAACTCAAGACTGGATCATACCTAGCAAAACCCCAGAGAAACTTTAATCCTGACATCATCTAACTGTGTGTGGGTGACTGTACCAATGTGACCCTCGTTTGATGGAATGCTTTATTACTAAAACTGTTTGCCACCCTACATGGCAACATAACACACTATTTCCACAGACACTAAGAGCAGCATATTCACCAATCATGTACAGGCACCAGACAGTGGTGCTGAGGAAAGCCACTTACCTGCACCAAGGTTTTAAGGGAAGGGTGGCATGGAAATGAGAAGAAGAGTGAGAGTTAATGGCAACCAGAAGATAAAGCCAAAATGGGATTAATATTGATCTCTGTGCCAAGATCTTTGCTGTTGCCTTCTTTACATTCATTATTGACCTGCCTCTGGATTGCCCCATCCCATCAGGTGTTTGTTTCTTCTCCTTACCAAGCCCCGGCCACAGATTGCTCCCCCACTCACATGTCACCTCATCACTTGTAAAGGCTGAGCTGATAAACCTGCAGTGCTTTATAGAAGATTTCTGACTCCTCTGCATATTTCCACCAGCTTTCCTCCATTTCTATACTTTATCCATTTCCACTCTCTTTCTCTCACGCATCTTCCATGGCTCTCTGCTTTCTCCACCCTGGCTATCCCTCTTTCCAACTTGCAGATTCCTCCTCTTTTCTTCTCCCATCCTGTACCCATTATCTTCCTTTGCTTTATTCCTTTTCTACTCTAAGTACCACACCCAACACCTGATCTCCTAAATTTTGGCCTTCCCATTGCACTGCCCCTCCAGTGAGGGATATTCTTATCTCCACAGATTTTCTGTTTGATCCTCTGAAATGACAGTTCTCACTATAAATACCCCTATAAATCCCTCCATAATAGTTTATTTGCTGGACACCTGACTGTAAAACCTCTTCAAAGCCCAAATTAACCTGATGCCTTGTGTATGCACAGGAAGAGCATATAGTGGAGAGATTGCACTGCTTGGTAACTCTTAATTCAATCTCAACCAGATTTGATTTGTTTAGTTAAAAAAAAAAAAAAAAAAAAAAAAAAGAAAGAAAAGAAACTCCCTTCTCCCCAATGATACCTAAATACTGTTCAAAGTTCTGGAAGTAACTGCTACCACTATCTAAAAATGACAGCATTGGTAGAAACACATGATAGCATCTTAACTGAAAATCCCCATTGAGAGAATTCAACATGATCTCTAACCATGGGGCTCAAGAGAGTTGCTCAGGATGGAAATAAGCTGCTTCTGATAAATTTAAGTAAGGAGAGGAAAAGAAGTGCAGAGGAGTTTCTTTGGTAAATGTGTAGCATCTGGGCCTTCCTTATCTTCCTTTGAGGTTTACGTTGGTGTATATTCAAAGATGCTTTAACATGAGCCCTTATCAACATGATGCAGAGACCTTCAAAACCAGTGAACTAGCTGCAAAGTGAGGACAGGCAGATGAACACAGTGTTGCAATTTGGTGCTTAATCACTTGATTATTCTTTATTTTTTTGTAACTGTTAAAATGACCCTGTATTATAGTCTCCTGATGTTCTATATTATGTACTATAGAAATAGCACAGAAGTTGAAAGAACATAGCTATGAGTAAGTCAGCTCTAGAGTTGTGTTTGTTATACTCAAGCGTGGCTCTGCTCCACTGTCAACATTAACTTAGTTCTTTTACCCAATAAGGTTTCAGTCTTGTTGGAGCAAAGACATCAAAGCTAACCTTTTATCATTCACCACCTCTATGAAAACCTTCGTTACTTTAAGTCTGCTCACTGGGCTTTTCATAACACAATTTTTCCATCCATCAGAATAGAGTTAATGCTCAGACACTGCAAACATCAACAGACACTGAGACATCTTTTCCAGTGCTCACCTTTGTTGGTTTCAGCATCCAAACAGACCAAGTGAACAACTGATACAGGTTCTTCCCTCACAGTAAATGATAGTGTGTTCTATTTAAAACACCAAATTAGAATGCAAGAGTCACTACCAGATACTGTAAAAAATATTTTGAGCAGCACAGACCAGTAAGCCTGTCAATGCCATTTACCCTTTCAGCAAAGCATTTATGTCTGGCTACTTAAATGCTTTGTTGGAAGAAGCTCAGAGAAAATTTATATGCTCTCCTAAGTACAAGTCAGTCCAAATTACAGGTAATGGTAACATACTATTTATTATACCAAAAGAAGTTTGCAAGGCAGAAAAGCCTTTCCTTTAACCAAAAGATTACAATGACTTAGATACAACGTGCAGTGACAACTTCTCCTAGACTATATCCCAGGCTACAGCATTTACACACGTGGCAAACACACCATTGCCATTGAACACCACCACTACCAAGGTTTCCAACAAGTGGTATACAAGGTTTCAGAGGTCATAGGGAACAGAGAGAGGACAACATGCCTCTCTGAACAAATTAACCTATGTAAGAAGCAGATCTCTGAAACCTGAAGCAGAAAAGACTAAAAGCTCCTGATATCACCAGCAAATAGTAAGGTTCTAAGTGTCACTTGCTTTGCTTTTTGATGTATCTTTTCAGTCAGTTACTGTGGGAACCCACATGCTTCTGTATTTCCTTGCTCAGCCAACCAAACAGAAATAAAACCCATTCCCTTCTGCCTTGTAAGAGACTCATGTAATTTTTGTTATGATTCTCCAACTGTATTTCTGAAAAAAACCACATATACAAACTTTCAACAAGATAACTTTACAAATATATATACTACAGTAAAACAAACTATATGTATCAGTTCAGTTTTCATTATTTATTTTCAGATATGAAAATATACCCTTTTTTTTTTTAGAAGTGGCACTGTAGGTTAACCTACTTTAAACTATCTCCCACACCCCTCATAACAATACAGCCAATCACATTAAAAAAAAAAAGCTGGTATTTTTTAGAAAGCCTTTTAGGAGGGCACAAAAATGAAAAGTTCAAGTCTAATTGTTCAGCTGTGATTTTAGTTCTTGCAGATCATGCTTTAACTACAAAGTTACACTGCAACAAAATGAAGGAGGTAAGAATGTTAGAGTGTGAACAAAACAATACTAAACTCACCCCTCTGAAATTCCAGCCCTTGGTGGAAGGAAACAAGGAAAAATTGTTCTGTTGCTGTTGTTTCGGCCTGCAAGATGAGAAAAGACAAGTGTTTACCTTTTCAAGCTGCCCTGTTTTCTGTATCAACAGCAGAATGACAACAGAGGGAGAAAAGAAAAACACAAACATGCTTCAAGCACCAAGACACTTCAGATTTCCTTGGCTGTACCTCTGACAGGTTTCTGTCTTCAGTGTAGTTACAGGTTTTAATTCAGATTGAGAGCTAAGGGACATGGCAGCCTTACAGGCCTTCAGAGACTTGATGACTGTCAACAACTTATTACTCCCACTGATTTTCCACAAGGAGAGACAACCCTGACCCAAACAAGCTGTGAAGATGCAATTATGCCATGTGATGCAGGACAGTGCAGGCTGCAGCTGCACTGGATGAGGACACAAAGAGCCTTTAATCCTGCCACTGAAGCCACGCGAAGCATCAGCGCAAAGCACGTTAGCCACACTCTGGTGTGACGCTGAAAACTAGAAGCCGACTTCTGTTTTTACTCCTTCAAAAAAAAAAAGAAAAAAATAAAAGAAAATCTTTCTCCTACTCTATAATTATCACTGTACAATTATTTCTGAAAAGGAACTATAACATTGTCCACTTCACTCTTAATGAGTCCTTTTCACCAGTAGGATCTTAAGTTACTTCACAAAGGTAGGCAAACATTGCTGAGATTTTACACATGAAGTCAGATCAAAGCTCGACTGACCTGCAGGAGCTGACCAGACCAACAAAGAGTTTGGCAGCAGGACCCAAGTGCTGAGCACACTGCAACTCCAACCATGCAATTATACACCTTACAGAAGCTACCACAAATAATAACAGGGACACCAAAACTTGGTTAAAACCCACAGATTAAATGGCTGCTTTTCAAACCTCACCATCCAACAACAACAGGACAGATATTTTGCAGTTAAAGCACTGAACTAACACGAGTCGTTCCTGCTGCTTATAGTTCCTGAAGGACTGCAACATACCATGCCCCAGTTTCTTTTCTGTAGAGTCAGGATGGCAATAGTTTTCACTGGTTTTCTTACTGTCTTCTCTATTTTTGTGTCAAATATTTGGTGTATGGACGTTTTTCTTATTATGTTCATTAAAACACATCATAGAGCTGTGATCACAGGAGGTGTTTTTTGATGCCAGCATAATGGAAAAGATGAAATTATAATCATGATAATTAAGTAATTTTTGTAACATCAAAGGTTGAAATGTAAATCTTCTCAGTTTTTCACTCTATCAGTCTGCCAACCAGAATCAATATTTATCAATATTGAAATGTATTGATAAAGTCATTAAAAAGCAGAAGTCACTACACATGACAGACTTTAACATCAAAGACTGTCCCACTAATAAATCCTCCTAGTACAGCTTTCCAAGTTAAAATATTATGAAACTGAATTTCTAACATAAAAGGCTCACTGGAACAGTAACTGCATTATGAAAAGAGAAAAATGTAATTAACAAAACTTACACAGACTATTGTCCCAATGGTGTTTTGCAGCTTTTTAGTCACAGATGATCTCACGCTGGAACCAGTTAGATTTTCAAAAAACATACTGTGAGCTTTACAGAAAGTTGTACTCCTTCTAAAAAATGTGTTTAAAGTTATGTTTCAGCACTTTTATCTTCTATTTTAATGTTGTTCTGGTATTTATTTTAACATTTGATTAAGAACTGCACTAGTTTTATACTAGTTAAGCTGAATATAGGGGAAACAACAGATATTTCAACTTCAATATAGCAGGTGTTATGACATTTTAGACAACGTTTCAAGGGAAATGAAGACTACATTAAAAATTATCTCCCCACATCATTATCTCATTCACAATCATGAGAACTAAGAACTTTGTAATAAGCAATAAATTTCACGGAATCACAGAATATGCTGAGATGGAAGGGACCCACAAGGATCATCAAGTCCAACTCCTGGCCCTGCACCTCAAGTAATAAAACGTAGTTCTTCCAAAAGCAAGACCTCATTTACCATTTTCAATTTGGTCCTTCACTATCTTATTTTGATCTCTTGGTCTTCCCATCTGTCAACATCAGTGAGAACTGTATTGAAAAAGAAACGGAGTAAAGCAGAATTTTTCAAACAAAGAAAAAAAGAGGAGTCAGATTAACAGCCATTAACAGTCATGAGCAGACCTGACTTTTAGAGGCATTTACGTCTAAGATAAATCACTCAGGTACTACAGTAAGGCTTTTTCAAATGTCAGGTATAAGACAGGGATGGTCCCTCTAACTGCAAGCACTGTGATTAACATTTGTGAAACACACCAAATAGATTATCACAGGCTGGATCGCGGCTGAGAAAAGGAAGCATCCTAATAATGTGTGAGGTAAAAGAGGAGTTCCTCCCTACAATTATTGTAACAATAGTCTGAAAGCTGTAATCTGTAATCTGACTTTTCCTACGCATGGATCTCTTTCAGCTAAAAGACTCCAAAACACTTTCTCCTCAGTACCGCGGTTTTAAGAATGAAAGACTAGAAGGTGGGGCTATAAAGGAACTTTTAATACTGTGGGACGGAGGGGGTCACCTGCCAGCTGAGCTTGGTTTGGGGATCGCTATGGAAAGTTTACCTTGGAAATAGAAGCCTGAAACCAAGTCCCTCCAGTGTGAGAGAAGTGCAAGCAGAGACCTGTCCCTTGGAAAGGCAGCCCGTGGCGATCCTCAACATTCAGCCTGTCTGTTTGGGTGTGAAATTCCTCCTTCTCCTCATTAGCAGATGTTTTAACTGTTTATCTTCCATTTGATCTTCAAGCTCCAGCCTTGGCAACACAATCCCTGGAAATGGCATCTTCATGCCTTAGTAGCTCCGATGTTCCTTAGATCCCTTGAAACGTTTACAGGGAATGACCAAACTATATTGACCTGCTCACCTGCTACTTTCCTACTGTGATCCTGCTGTTCAATAAGAGCAATTTAGAATTTTACCGAAAAAAAATTTGATTACTGCAGGAACTTCTGACACTGGTGCTATCCCTTGAGCTGTGGCACTGGCTTTGATCAAGGTGCTTCTACTACTCGTTTGTACCCCGGGGAGTAAAATGCTCATTACAAGTCCTTAACATGTGTAGGGTTTTCTATTTAGGTTCTCTCACACACATACTGTGTATATATAATAAAAGTATCTGTTGGACAAATATATCCTTATTGAAATCTTTCTTCAGACACAATTGTTAGACACCAGATTAACATGCCTCCTAGAATAAATTAGTGGAGATTTTTTGTGCAACATCTACTGTGCTGTAGGTTAATTATATAATGACAATTGGTAAGTAGAAGTGTATAAAGGAATCTAAAAACAACAACATGGGCTGAATGTTTTAAAGCTTCTATTACATTTACTAACAAAAGTGTATTATCTGCCTTGAAGCATGATGATGAGATAAATGAACAATTTATGGCAGTTTATATTAAACTCAAGTAACTTTTACATCTTCATCTGATCCTCCAGTCTATCTGCACACAGAATCACTGACTACAAGAGGATTCTTTTAGATATGCATATCCAAGCTGTGCATGTTTTGTTGAAAATACTCAGCTGCTACATCCGTTTTCAGATAAAAGCACATTTCACAAATCTACATGAATACTCAGATAAAAAAAGGAAAGCTCAGACCACTTAGAGACAAACTGTGCTAAGTAAAAATCTTTCTCAATCTGTAAAAAATAAAGATTGTTACTACAGCTGTGAATAGTTTACAAAGATACTGTTAAATAATAAATAGTACTTACTGTTCAGAACTGTTCTTTGTAATGTCGTCTGCCTAACCTATCAAAATTGTACACTAAGATACAGTTCACAAAAGCACATTTATTTTAATACACTGGGATAGTTGTGATACTAAATTATACACAAGAAAACTACATTACAAGAAAACTAAATTACATATAAGAAAATGTTAAAGTGATTTATCTAGTGAAGCCTGAGACATAAGAGAATTTTAGCTTTGAACAATAGCTTTGAATACTGATTCTCTTAAATAGTTTAAATTACAGATAATAATAAATTAATGTACCTTTGGTACTGATTTTAAAAGAAGAAAAAAAGCCCATGCTTTGACTTATTTAATAAAAAGCACTGACTCGTCCACTTGAAATCCCAAATATTATTTCTCTTTTATACTAGGCCTGTGCAATTTGGCACTAAAAGGAGATTGTGGAAAATTTCATTTATTTTCCAGAAGCCTAAAACAAGTCTAATACAACGGAATTTGGCTCAGAAAGTATTTAAGTTCACACAGAGAGCTTACTTGATACACTTTTCTTGCTAAAGGCAAAGTAACTCAAAGACTGTGAGCATGTTTGGTTTGCCAAGGCCCCGGCCTGCAGACAGGAGCTCTTCAAGCTCTCACTGCGAGATAACTGGGGGTGGGGAGGCCACTTGACGACTGAGCACTCGGTATCTTGAGAGAAACTAAAATATCAACCGAGAAAAAAAAAACAGATGACTGATTTTTAGCTGCTGTGCTGATTTCCTCAGTGTTAACAATCTTTTATTGTCCTACTATCATGAACTGGTATAAACACATTAAGAAAGAAAAACAGCCCCGTGATTCTGGCTACACACACAAAGGCATTGCTGAGTAGGTACCAGGGAGCTGTCCCACACCTACTCTTTTCCCATGCTTTCTTCACAACATGTGCAGTTATACGACTGAACCAACGCAACCTACTGTCAAATATCCCAACACCAATTAAACTCAAAGAAGCTACAAAATGCATTTTTTTTCATTTCTCTATTTGATTGCTTTCCTGTAAAAATTAAAACTAGTTTTGTGAAAGATGAAAAAAAAAAATCATTTATTTCTTCATCTGTTACTGCAGGCTAATGCAATAAAGTCCATCAATATACACCACTATAAAAGCATCCCCTCTTGACACAATGAAGTCTGGTCACATCTGAAAGAGAAATTCCTGGCTACTGGCCAACAGGAGGACCCAGACTTTTTTGCTGTTTGACAAAGGTACAGCTGCATTAATGCTGGGAAGAATGAGAAGAGAGTCCTGT